TTTACATGTATTGTAAATTTGTTAGTATATATTGTACATGTCTAACAGATACAACAGTATATGTTGAAAAATGATCAAATTCATGCATGTATTATTCATAAAGAGGATAAGGCTGTGTATGACATGGGAGCTTTGGCATCTACTCGAGCTAACGCTGACCCTGCCATGTTCCTAAGCTCTGACCCCTGTTTCTGTATGCTGGTCCCGCCTATCTCTTTCTCACACATACACACAAGTACATACACACACACACACACACACACACACTGTTTACATCGTACATACACACACACACACACGCTGATTACATGTCCAGCTGAGACCTGCTCTACAGGCAGCAGAGCCCGAGTGTCTACAGTGAAACTTCCCCTATACCTCTCAGTGTGTTATCAGCCGGCCCAGCACCACGAGTCTCTGACAATAGAAATGATAACGGTGGACAGAACAAGATTGCTGCCACAGTTAGTTCACACTGATTTATACAGGTGAAACTCGGAAAAGCTACGATGTTCAATTAATATATGATACTCATTACAGATATACATATCAAGCCTTCTGTTGTTATCAAGCCTTGTCAAATAATTCTTTCATCTTTTAAAGTTGAATTACAGACATTAATTAACTTTTGAACAATTGAAGCCTGGGAGTGAAATCCAAATGGAATTGACATAAACATAGAATCAGAATCAGAATCAGAATCATTTTTATTGCCACGTGAGTAACAAAGTTATCACTTGGAAATTGTCTTGGCAGAGAGCGTGCCACTTCGCCATTTGCGGCGCTGTGTGCAGCAAGAAACAGCAGAGAGCAATAACATTCAGGTAACAACAGACAGTTGGATAGAAAACATTGTGCTTTGTATAAACCACGGATTTTTTTCACGGGATGAGCACCTCCGGCCTGCCGGTCCAATGTGGCTGTCAGAGGGGGGCGGGGTCAGGGAGGGGGAGAGTCGGAAACACAGTAAGGAGGGGAGGGGAGGGAGAGATCAGAGGGAGGCGGGGGGAGCGGGATCCAAACTGGAAGACTGAAAGAGTGTGAAATTTTTGTAGAGACCAGATTTATTATGATGGCCTTGGCCCGAGGAATGTGAGATAAGAGAGGAGGGAAGACACAATAGGGAGAGAACACATCTCCTGTAACGAGGGACAATATTGTATGCAGTTTAGCAGTCAAAAACAGGCAGATATTCTATTAAATCCAATTAGACCAAATTACAGCGCCCTCAGACCCCGTACACAGGGGCAAATCCAAGCCGGGTCAGAGAGTTCAGGCCTGGCAGACAATGTCATTCAATCTCAATTCCAGAGTCTTATGACCATCAAGTGAACGAGCTGCGAGATCTTTGATCAACTGTTCCACTAACACCACTCTTCGTTGTCCAGCCACAGCGCTCTCAACCACGACTCGGTTAAGCTCCTTGTACATCCCATCAATTTTTTCGGCCAGCAGGTCGTGAATCTTGCGAACTGCCATGCCTCCGAATTTGTGGTAGAAGAGAACCGCTCCAAACCCAAACAGGAGGATCCCCACCACCAAAATGCCAAAGATATATACGTCTTCCGAATCTTCAATGGACAGGGTCGACAGACAGAGGGGCTGAAACTTGTTCCAGCTGTCAAGCGTATACCCCGCTGGTGAAGTCCCGTCCGGGCACACGGGCTCTCCAGACCCGCGCTTACGTGTTGAAAAGATAGAATCAATTGCGTTGAGGGACCAGTTAATCATTTCCATTCTGTTAAAGTTGTCTGTGGCAAAACTCCAGGAAAAAAAAGACAAAAACAGGAGATAGCAAGCCGTTCAGAAGCAGGAGCGGACTAAGACACGTCCTAGAGTTAGGCCAATAACTATTTTCAACACTAGTCCCTGTGGACTAGTGTTGAAAATTAGCACCTGTGCTATAACACTTACAGCAAAGCATGTGGTTCGTCTAATGTTATTGTTATGTCCATATTGAATAAATAAATAAATAACAATAATAGAGCACTTACAACTGATCAAAATTTAGATAATCGGGAGTCCTCAAAAATCCTGATTTTGTCAAATGTCAAATGATTTTATCAATGTAAAACAACTGTTAATGAAAAATAGCGCTTGTCTATTTTGTAATGAAACAGTTATTACTAAATGCAATCGCAGAGAAAGAGAAACAGATTCAGATTCAATTAATTTGCAAATTGCAAAGTACATGTGTAAACCCCGGTGTGCACCAGCATCAAGGGTATCAAGGGTAAAGCACACTATCGGCCTGCCCTCCCTCTAGGCCACCACCTGAGGAAGGGTTGGAACATTTTAAATCACCAGCTGCTAACACTTGCCAGTCCACTTGAGAGCTTTTAGACAAAAAGGGACAAGGTACACGTTTCTGCTAGAAGTTCTTCACATAAGTGACGGATCTAAAAACAACTCCCGGGCTGTTTTTGACGAAGGAACAGTGTTGTAACATGTTAAAAGAGTGGCAGTAGTAATACTTGTAGTAGTAGAATAGAATAAGATAATAAAGCACATTAGTAGAGTTTTCTTTGTCTTGTTTAACTAGGCTTCGTGGAGACAACATGGTCAAGTCTGGGAAAAGCACAGCTTAAAGACGCTTTACAGGGGAAAAACAAAATGGAAACCAAATTCAGGTCTCAGTTTTAGTGAAGAATCAATAGAAAAGAGAACAGTGTTGACTACTGCAGCCCACAAACCCATTGTGTATACCCATTCAGTAGTTATTATGGCATATAATTGGGAATGCAGCTATTGTCAGACAATTAAATGTTTATGATTCCCAGGATGCTTCAAATCTTTTTATTTTATTTTAACAAAGCTAAAAGGTTATCAATGTTGCTATAGTTCCTGCCCCTTGGTTTGGACCTAAACCTTAAAAGGTTTAGCCGAGAGAACAGAACCCAATGTCGATCATGCCCATGACAAGATAAATACTTTTGCATAGTATTTCTCTGATGCATCTGAAAACAGAGAAATGAATATTATGAATATTATGAATAATATGAATAAAATGTGTTTGTATTTTGAATATAACGGAAAGGAATGACACAGTATTTCCAAACAGACCCATTGACCAAGAGAGGAAAAAGACTCTCACCTGGATCAATATCTTATTTTGCTCTCACTGCTAAATGTACACCTCCAAATTCTTCACAGCAGTGATTCACCTCTTTAATAATGAATACAAGAGCACAGACAGAATATTGTATTTTAGCACATAAATAGAGCATGTAATACAAGACAAAAGTGCTGAGTCGGCACGGAGAGGGGAAAAGTATTGTATGCAAGTATAGTATAGTATAGTATGCAAGTGTAATAATCCAAGTCCTATAAAAACAAAACAAAACTGTAAGCAATATTTATACAAATTAAAAAGTAGTGCAATTTGTCTCTTCTAACAGAAGCCCGGTTTAATCCAGAGGGATTAGGAGCGGAGAGAGTGCTATCATAAAGCACATGATTCTGAAACACATGAAGCCACTGGCACAAACACACACAAACACGCACGCAGACACCGATCTGTTATAGAGCTGCACACTGCACTCCACGCACACCAAGATCAAGAACACACACGCACACACACACACACACGCGCACACACACACTCACATACTCATGGACGCATTTGACAAATAAAAAATGGACGTCAGTGGAGCAGTGATTTCTCTCTCTCTGCGAGTGCAATTAGTATTAATCGCTTCATTATAAAATAGACAGGTGCTATTTTTCATGAACACTTGTTTTACATTGATCATCTTTGGCAAAATCCTGTACAAAAAACAGGATTTTTGATGACTCCTATGGATACCAAATATCTAAATTTTGATCATGAATTTTGTTGAAAGTGCTCTATTGGCCTAACTGTATAGGTTTATGTCAATTCCATTTGGATTTCACTCCCAAACTTCAAAGTTTTCAATAATGTGCCTTCCCGAAGTGTCGCGGCGTCGCCATGGATACCCACACAATGTGCTGGGGATAGAGAGAGATGCTGTTTGATATGAGGATGTATGGTGGAGGAATGTTTAGTAGAAAAGTCTCCACTGTACAAATACAAGGCTCATGTAAATCTGGAAATGTGCCTCAGAAATAAATTATTCACTGGCATTATTGAAGTGGTGCAGGTTCTCATAACTTCTCACACACATCACACTGCTACAAATGGATAAAAGAACACGGAAAAGACCCGTAGTTAATTGGAGGTAGGCGAGAAATGGTCTTTATTTATGCCAAATTTAACACACTGTTTCCTGATGTGATTGGTGCTGATTGATCACCGCAGCTAGTCAACATCCATCCACCTATCCATTTTCTTCCCCTTAATCCATTTCTGGGTCAGGGGGTGGCAGCCAGAGATGCCACCCAGTACACAGAGCACTAGCCCCTCACTGATCTTCCTGCAGGTGGTGAGTCCACAGGAGCCTTGATCTTTCAGTGGGGACTTCGGGCAACGTGGGGTTAAGGGTCTTGCCCAAGGACACAACGACAGCAGTCATCAGTGAGAGTCGTGAAGTAGGTCTCATGGTGGACTCGAACCCACTGACTTCAGGCTCAAAGGCCAATGCTCTAAACTGTTGCCCCCACCTAGTCAACAGTTAAGTAAATTAGTTATTCATTTAAGTCAAGAGTTATTTGTGGAAATAATTGGCCAGTTTGTTGCCGGTCCATCCCCTTTATAGTCCACTAATTAATTGAAAGGGCAAATAAAAAGTGTTTGTAATTTGAAAATAAGAGAAAGGAATGACACAGTATTTCCAAACAGACATTTTGAAAATAATGTGTCGGTCAACTACAACATTCGCTGTAGTTGACCGAAGAAATTATTCGCAACCAATAATTTCTTTGGTCAACTACAGCCCTAAGAACGTCATTTTAAACTGTTTTACATCAACCTACATTATTTTTTACGTTAAGCTCATTTTAATAGCGAGTTTAGAGCAGAATGAGCTAACGGTGACACATCTGGTGCTTTCCTGATCACACATTATAGCTGTTAATATTAAGACATGAGCGAAGGAGAGGAAAGTGCAGACAGCTGCATGTGGCTAATGCTGTTTGGAGCTCCTCTGAGAGTGTTTACGGTAAATAGTGGCCACTGGGAAGAGGCCTGATTCATTATTAAAGGTGTTAGCATTTAGGCTGTCACATTAACATCCCTCTTTGGCCCCAATGTAATTAGCCATGATTTATACCGCATTTTACAACATGAAATGGTGTGAGAGACATGCAGCAGTGTGCATTCAATCCTGACAAATATGTTGACAGATTAAACATGCAGAAGTCAAGTGCACATTTCCATCCATGGGTGATGATGGAGCTGCACCCAGCACCAGCCCCTCACTGATCCTCCTTCAGGTGGTGAGTCCACAGGAGCCTTGATCTTCCAGCGGGGGCTTCAGGCAAAGTGGGGTTAAGTGTCTTGCCCAAGGACACAACAACACATTTCATGCATTTAAAGGATCCTCCAAAACTAAATGTTGAAGTTTATAACATTACTAGCTTACACGTCAATAACAGGGCAACAGTAGCTCAGTTGGTAGAGCATTGGCCTATAAGCCAGAAGGTTGTGGGTTTGAGCCCACCTCAAGACTTTCACCATCGACTCCCACTGTCTGCTGTCATTGTGTCCTTGGCAAGACACTTAACCTCTGGGAACACCTGATGCCACAGTGGGGCGGCTGCGGCTGTAAAGTGCCAAACTGCCGTTGTGTCCTTAGGCAAGACACTTTACCCCCATTGCCTAGAATCAGTCTAGTGTGTGTGTGAATGGTTAGGCCAGTCAGTTAAACTGAGCCTCAGAAACCTAGGTGTTATTTTTGATAAGGACATGTCATTAGTGCAGCACTGTAAACAGCTGACCAGGAACAGCATTTTTCAGCTGAGGAGAATCTCCAAAGTCAGGAAAATGGTTTCACAGAATGATTTGGAGGTGATTATTCATGCATTTGTGTCTTTGCGTTTAGACTATTGTAACGCTCTGTTTTCATGTTTAAACAAGAAAGAACTGTCTCGCCTGCAGTTAGTGCAGAACTCTGCAGCGAGAATCCTGACCCGCACAAGCAGGAGGTCGCACATCACCCCTGTCCTTAAAGCTCTTCATTGGCTGCCAGTGTCCTACAGGATACATTCTAAAATTCTGGTTTTAACCTTCAGAGCTTTGCACGGTCAGACTCTGTCTTACATCAGTGACCTGATCCAGCCATACACCCCAGCCAGGGCTCTGAGGTCTGTGGATCAGAACCTCCTGATGGTTACACGCATCACGCACACGGCTATAGAGTCTGTAGAGTGCTTCAAAAGTCAACTGAAAACTCATTTATTTGTTCAGGCTTTTGCGTAAGTTTGTCTTGCTGTTTTTTTTTTAAATGGTTGTCTTGAACTTTAAACATTTGTATGTCTAATTTAAATAATGTCTGTTTATATACTATGTGAAGCGCTTTGTGACCCTGGTCTGTGAACCTTACTATGGTTGGTGGTGGTCGGAGGGGCCGAAGGCACATACTGGTTGCCTCACTTCTGTCAGTGTGCCCCAGGGCAGCTGTGGCTACAGTAGTAGTTTATCACCACCGTGTATAGAGTGAATGAATAACGACATGTAAATCGTCTTTGAGTGTCCAAAAAAGCGCTATATAAAACCGATTTATTATTATTATTATTAACAAAGATGACCAGGCCTATGTGATAAACCATGGAGTAAAACTTTTCTTAACAAGGGCTTACTGCTAAATAGCACTGTACAGTTGACATCACCGCTCCGCAAAACAAGAGCACATGATGAGTTCAAAGAAATGAAAAAAGCATGTAACTATTTAAATGGAACGCAATATACATTTTGACACAACGCAGAACCAAAAGTTGTCTAAATGGATCTACATAAGATAAGAAATTCCTTTATTCGTTGCACAGTGGAGAATTATCAGTGTCGTTGTTGCGCACATTACAGCAGAGAAAGAAGGAAATAAGGTTACACAGATTGCACACATCAAATAGAGTTTATTATTTAAGATAATAAATAGACAATATGGCGACTTCAGGCTGCTGAGGTCTTTGGCCCGTGGTGTCATTGGCACTGGTACCCAGTGTTGGGCACGTTATTTTGAAAAAGTAATTAGTTATAGTTACTAGTTACTTCTCCCGAAACGTAACTGAGTAACTCCACTATAAAAGTAACTACTTACCAGTAAAAGTAACTATTGCGTTACTTTTTTATTTCTCGCCCCCATAACCCCCCCTCAGGAGCCTGGAGCTGTGAGTTACTTTGAAAGAGTAAATAGTTACTTATTATTGATTAGTGTTTCTACATGAGATGTGTGGAGGAAAATGAAATCATTAACATTGTGAGAACATTTAAAAATAAGCAGTCCACTGACAGTTTCAATCTTGATATCATGTTTGTAAAAAATATAATTCATTGTATTGTTTCACCCTTTACTTACATTTGTGATCAGTCCTTTCTCACAGGCATCTTTCCATCCAAAATGAAAACCGCTAAAGTAATACCAATTTTCAAAAATGGTGATCCACATCAACTCAATAACTACAGACCAATTTCACTCCTTTCACAGTTTTCAAAAATTTTGGAAAAGTTATTTATTATTCGGTTAGATGAATTCTGCAGTAAGCATAACATTATAAGCGACTACCAGTTTGGTTTCAGATCAAACCGATCTACCGCAATGGCAGTTATGGAGCTGGTTGAAGCAATCTCAACTGCGACTGACAAATGCGAGTATACAGTTGGAGTTTTTATTGATCTGAGCAAAGCCTTTGACACCATCAATCACGATTTATTATTAGCCAAAATGGAACGCTATGGTGTCCGGGGAGTTGCTCACGACTGGTTAAAAAACTATCTTACAGGCAGGGATCAATATGTTACGGTCAATAATGTTAATTCAGATAACACGGAGTCCCACAGGGCTCAGTCCTTGGGCCTAAATTGTTTATATTGTACATCAACGACATCTGTGAGGTCCTTAAAACTATGCACTGTATTCTGTTTGCAGACGACACCAGTCTCTACTGTTCAGTACAAAATCTTGAGCAGCTTATGGAAAAAACTGGAAATGAACTATTAATATTAAAGAAATGGTTTGATTACAATAAATTATCAATGAACGTGAGCAAAACTAAATATATTATTTTTGGTAATAAAAAAATTGGCTTTCCGACCAAATTAAATATAGATCAAATTGAAATAGAGAGGGTGTACAACACAAAATTCTTGGGAGTTAACATTGACGCAAAACTTAACTGGAAAATACATATAGAATACTTGAAGACAAAGATATCTAAAATGATTGGAATATTGTGCAAAATTAAAAAAATCTTTAACAAAAAATCATTACACCTATTATACACTTCACTAATACTGCCATACTTGCATTATTGTGTGGTTGTGTGGGGGAATAATTATAAAACTTCAATTCAGCCTCTCTTCTTAATGCAAAAGAAAGCAATCAGAATAATCAATTGTGCAGACTATTATTCATCATCAAATCCATTATTTATAAAATCAAATACCCTAAAATTACATGATATAGTTGACCTAAATACAGCAGTTGTCATGTACAATGTTCACAATCAGAATGTCCCTAAATGCATCCAGGAAAGGTTCAACACCAGAGAATCAAATTATAATCTTAGAGGAACTGACATTTACCAAAGGGTCACTGCCAGGACCAAAGCAAAGTGTAGATGTGTCTCAGTTAGAGGAGTTGCTGTCTGGAATGGTCTGGATGAGTCACTAAAGAAAACTACATCCATCAAGATTTTCAAAAATGTCCTTAAAATTCATGTTATAAATAAATATAGAGAATTAGAATAAATAAATAATATTAAAGCAATTATCAACATTATTATTATTATTATTATTACCATTATAATATTGTTTATATCATCAAAACAATTTGTATGAATCCTCATTTACCTACATGTCTTTTCTGCAAAAATATAGATATGTATTTTCTATTGTTTTTTCATGCTGAAAGCTAATTGTTGCTGTTTTAGTTGTTCTGGTTATAGTAAGCTATAGTAGGGTTAGGCTTCTATAAGTGTTTCACTTCAGCCTAAACCCTTTCAGTCAACTTTACTTTTTACTTTATTTTTTTCAAATGATCAGTATTGTCTGAGTTGTGAAAAAGTGACTGAACAAATAAACTAATACTACTACTATTACTTTAAAAATATGGTTACACTGCTTAGATACAGTCTCAAGAAAGTAACAGTGAGTAATATTAATTGGGATTACTTTTCTAGTAATAAATACAGCCACAGCAATATCAGAAACATGTTTGAGGTGTTTATGATGCAGCGTGACTGTCTGTGGGTATTCAACATTCTAAAGTTAAATATGCATTTTCCTATCTAAGTTACAGTTTTTCTCTATTGCTACAACACAAAACCCAGTGCTCTAAACCAAATGACCAATTGCCTAAACACATTTATAAAAACTTCCCCCCACTTCTCACAACCAAACACAATTCTCCTGTAGACACTGTTCACAAAACACATGCCCTTTTTCTCAAAACTCTAAACACATTTTTCTTTTGCTAAAACACATTTGTCCTTTGCTAAAACACATTTTTCCTTTGCTAAAACTTTTTTAGCATGTATCTCATGTGATGAAAAATGTCTCCCACTGTCAGCAAAACCTGAACACAATGAACATACCTGGTGTCATTCAGAAAACACAACCACTCAGAATTGAAAACTCCTGTTGCAAATGATGTGACCACAACTTTATAAGTCAGTGCAGTTTGATGAAGGTTCCAAACAAAAATGGATAATCAAGGCAGAAGAAGAGGAGTTCGTGTCAGAGGAGGGAGAGGAGCAGGTCAAGGAGGGAGAGGAGCAGGTCAAAGAGGGAGAGGAGCAGGCCAAGAAGGGAGAGGAGCAGGTCAAGGAGGGAGAGGAGCAGGTCAAAGAGGGAGAGGAGCAGGCCGAGGAGAGAGAGGAGCAGACCAAGGAGGGAGAGGAGCAGACCAAGGAGGGAGAGGAACAGGTCAAGAAGGGAAAGGAGCAGACCAAGGAGGGAGAGGAGCAGGTCAAAGAGGGAGAGGAGCAGGCCGAGGAGAGAGAGGAGCAGACCAAGGAGGGAGAGGAGCAGACCAAGGAGGGAGAGGAACAGGTCAAGAAGGGAAAGGAGCAGACCAAGGAGGGAGAGGAGCAGGTCAAAGAGGGAGAGGAGCAGGTCAAAGAGGGAGAGGAACAGGTCAAAGAGGGAGAGGAGCAGGTCAAGGAGGGAGAGGAACAGGTCAAAGAGAGGAGCAGGCCAAGGAGGGAGAGGAGTAACATGTATTATGAATGCACGGGAAATGTAGGTACCCCAGCTTTAATTTAGTGAGTTGTAGTTTCAGGGCGACAGGTGGAGACATGGGGGACACTTCCAGAGGCTCACATAATTCAGCTGTGTTTCTCTCACAGCGGTGGATTTATCGCGTCCACAGGTTGTGCAAAGATCCGCACTTGTCTTGTCCGCGCTGGTCACATGGGAATCAGTCCCTTGCAGCACCAGAGCATGTGGAATCCAGTTCCACGTACATAAAAAAACTATAAGTGTCCCACAGTCACGCGCGCTCCCCGTGAGGGGGGGGAGCACCCCACTATTTGGCACTCCCTCCAAATAGTGAGCCCCCCCTGTCATCGCACCACGCCCCCCCACTATTTGAGAAGCACTGCCCTAAACATTGTGTTTTCAATTGTTACTGTACTGTATCTTTTGTGTGTCATGGATCCTCCATAGAGTTACTCATGTTTGCATTGGGTTGAGATATAACTGCATGTTCTGCTTTTTATAACTATTCTCATAAAACACACACATCTATAGTAAATGACCAAAATATATTTGAGAATAAAAAAGTGTTGCTGAAATGCATCCTGGCAGTTGTGAAACTGTAAAAAAGAACAGTCTCACATTCTGAAAATTGTGTTTTCAATTGTTTTGGTGATGTGGTTAATGATGCTCATAGTGTTCACATTTTTGCAGACCTTGAGAGGTATTTTGGTGTGATGGGTTGGTTTTGAGAATATGAGAAACTGTTTTGGTGTGATGGGTTGGTTTTGAAAAGAGACTGTGTTGCTGTGTGTACGTAGCTTTAGAAAAGAGGTTTGTGTTTAGAGTTTTGAGAAAAGGGAGGACAGTATCGTGAAATGTGTTTAAGCAATAGAGAAAAACTGTAAGACAAGATAAGATAGACTTTATTGATCTCACACAGGAGAAATTTACCTCTAACATCTAACCAATCTGAGATAGTTCCACTGGTCACTAATAAATATAATGAGCATTTTCATAGCAACTGCAACTTTAAATTGAACAATGTGATGTATCTTTATGGTCGAACATTGTGATGTTTTACTAGCATATGTTCTACCTTCTTGTCAGCAGTTATTTTTGCAGACTTTGGTCCCATTGCTGATAGTGTGGGGTTAAGTGGAATGGCTCGGATATCTGGCCTGGGACACTTTGACTTGAACATGTCGCTTTTTACTGGAGCAGTGCAACTTGCTGAGGAAGCAGGACTCTTGTTTTAAATGGAAAGTGAACTTTTCAATTTGCCAGAGTGTTTTCCGTCCAATATAATGGCTACTTCACAGTGCTATTTTGTCACTTTCTACAAAAAGCATTTGAGTTTGTTCAGTAGATGTTTTACACCCATTACCTGCAATCTCAACCCATCAAAAAGGAAGCAGTCACCTTTAAAACAAGAATGACATTTTCAAACCACCAAACGGAGCAGTTTCACAGAGAGGTTGTGTTAATTGAGCTGTCAAAAAAGTGCCAAAAAAGTATTGAAGCTAAATCCCACTTATAAACAGATAAACTGAGATTACCACATTTTACATGATTACAGAAGATGAGTGCTGTTATAATCTTGATTTAACATAAAAACCCATCTCATCTATAATCTAACTACGTACACTAACATTCATTCATTCATTCATTTTCTGCCTCTTTATTGGTCCATTTCTGGGTCGGGGGGTGACAAAGAGAGCTGCCACCCATTGCTCATAGCACCAGTCCCTCGCTGATCCTCTGCAGGAAGATGGCTGCTACATCAGTGGTGCCACAGCCTTGGTGTTTCAGCGGGAGCTTCGGGCAATGTGGGGTTAAGTGTCTTGCCCAAGGACACAACGACAGCAGACATCAGTGGGAGCAGTAGGTCCCGAGGTGGGCTCGAACCCACGACCTTAATAAATATGGAAGAATTTTATGGCTTCATGACTGGTTCAGTTGTGTTCAGGGTCAGAGATACCAGCTCTGAGGTTGCAACCTTCCATTAAAATACAGAAATGTTGCCCAACATAAATTAGCATTTCATTGCTTTGCTGATGATGGGCAGATTTGCCCGTTTCGTCGGATGGGAGTGATGCTGTGCGTGTCTGATGGACTAAATATCTGCCATTGAGCAGAACCTCCTCCATTAAAAATGAGACACAAGTGATTTTATTTTGTTTGGTGATTCACAGAGTACTGGTACTTTGGACCCAATGGTCGTGGGTTCAAGCCCACCACGGCCCATGTCCCCTGCTACCACTGATGTCTACTGTCGTTGTGTCCCTGGGCAAGACACTTAACCCCACATTGCCTGAAGCCCCAGCTGTAAGACTAAGGCCATCTCGTCAATGTCGGAGATGCCATCTTCCCGTGGCCCCGTGGACCCAGGATCAGCAAGGGACTGGTACAACGAGAGGCCACCCGCCCAACCCAGAAATGGATTGATAAAGGGGTAGAAAAGGACATGACATGATTCACATGGTCAGATTTTGGATAGTTGTTTTCTTGTTTTAAACCAATGGTCAGAAACCTTGGTGTTTTGATCATTTTTATCATTTTGACAAACAGATCAAAAACAGAACAGTTTTTATCATCTGCGTGTTTTAACTAAGGTAAAGCCTTTTTGAAACTGCTCAGACCTGGAAAAACAATCCACAAGATTATAAATTCAAGAATAGATTATTGTAATGCCCTTTATTTTAGAGTTCCTCAGTCTTGTTTTAATCGTCTTCAGTTGGTGCAAAATGCTGCAGCTTGCTTTTTAACAAACACACTGTCAACACATCACCCCAGTGCTGTTTTCCCTACATCGTTTTGAGTTGATTTTAAAATGTTACTCTTTGTTTTTAAAGCCCTCAACGGTCTCGCCCCTCTGTACTTTTGACTGTTCGTGACTCAGGCAGATCGTTGAGGTCATCCACTCAACTCCTCCTGGAAGTACCCAGGACCAGATCCAAACACTGAGGTGACCGGTCCTTCTCATTCGCTGGACCCTGTTCCTGAGATGCGTGTCCTCACTGATTTTTTGAATTTATTTTTTTATTTAGGCTCAAATCGTATTTATTCATAATGGCTTTTAACACTTAACACTCATTAGCACGGTGACAGTTAAAAAATGAAAATTAATGCTATTAATGTTTTATTGTTTGAATGCATAAATGATTTAATGTATTTAATGTGATTTTTATTGTCAAGCACTTTGGTCGTCTTGAGTGTTGTAGAAGGGCTCTATAAATAAAAATTGATTGATTGATATTGAACCTGATATTGAATCATGTTGTATAGTATTGTTATTTAATCTTTGATAAAATGAAGTTAATTTCTGTCAATATTTCCTCTCCCTAAGTCACATCATTCATTGGATACGTCTCTCGTGTGCTCTGCATATTGGGTCGTTCATTAGAGCATCTCATGGTAAAGCCCCTGGACAACTGTTAACTCATTATCACACGCTCAATAGATTTCCTTCATTGAATTAAGTAGGAGTGACAGTAGTGAGTAGCATTTCCTTCAGGCTGAAATAAGATCCTTTTTCTGTCAAATCCCTGACATGGCTTCATACTTCAACACCTCTTGATGAAAAAATGTCACCTGCATATTGCTTTTATTAGACAGCGGGCCGTTAGGAATACTCAGGATAGCATTTGCATTAAAAAATATCACTTGCCGAGCACCAAGTCGAGTGAATTAATAATGCGTTTGGTTTGATGATCAGAAACATAATGTGCACAAAATCAGCATATACAGCACATTCCCAGTTCAGACTTTATAAGCAGAAAAGATGGATTTATTCCAGGTGTGGAAAAACTTGAGGGGGAACCCAACCTATTATATTTACATTTACTTTTTATACATATGATTCTATATATTCTTACTTAAACAGATTTATTATATGGATACACTTAATGAATGAAATAACAAATGTGTTTTTTGTCCAGTGTATGAATAGATGACCCAGAGCTTTGAAGCTACTGAATTCAGCGTCTTTAGTTTAGTTTTAGCTCCAAAGAACAGGTTTTAATTCAGTCTCACAAAGCCACAGTAAGCTCTTCGCAAAGCCTCCTCTTCAGATCTATTCTGATGGACACTGAGTGGAGTACTTGGAAATAATTATTACGTTTATGTTCTTGAGAGCACTGGTTTAAAGAAGCAGTTGTGTTATATGACAGCACGGGAAATGGAGAAGACTCGGGGCCAGGGGAGCAGAGAAAGAAGAGGAGTAGGGTGGCTAGTTTAGTGTGGGTGTCAGGGGCTGATGCAGAGATGTGTTTGTTTCAAGTTGACTGAGACAGAGAGGGGGGTGCAGCACAGAGGGATTATATTATCATGATATTAATAGGTATTCATACAAAACCCTTATTTACAGTAATACCTCAGCAAAAAGAGATTTATTTGTTACTCTTGAACACCTCTCATGTCATGAAAATCCACTGATGCTGATTATCTCTGACCTCAACCTTCTTTCCCCTCCCCAAGTGAGGTCCAGAAGTAGCTTTCTCCTATTATGCTCCTTGTAAATGGAAAGCTCTGCCCACTGATTTAAAATTTTCGCCTACCCTGAGCTTATTTAACAGTAAGCTAATGATGTACATGTTTAGACTTTCTTATCTTTCTTATATTTCTTCTTCTTCTAATAAAACTGAGCAGGGTCCGGTCTAGACAAGATCTGCAAAAACATCTGCAAACCATATGAAGATATATGTGTAATCTGCATGAGACAGTTATTGACATCTCTGTAGTTTGTAGGGAGAATAGGGCAGTGGGACAGCAGGTGCAAATGGGACAAAGGCGTGACTCAGCTGGGCCGTGAGTGGTGGAAAACTTCACTCTGCACCTGACCGGAGGGTTTATCTTTGCACCAGTACCCACAAACATGGTGCATATATTATTCAACAGCCTTTTAATTTACCATAAAGGCCGGGGCCAACTCTGCTGCAAGTGTCGGGAAACAAAGAACTTTTGTTCAATCATCCGTGGGGTTTGTAACATCTGAGCCAAGACTGTTTGATGTGTGAATCTGCACTGATGAGTTTCATATTGAAGAAGAGTTATATTAGTGATGACAAAATGTTATGATCAAAATACAAGAAAAGTATGAATAGCACTATTTCACCCACAAAGCCATATGCGAAAGATCAAATTTATCTTTGCAAATCTTTTCCTTTGCACAAGAATTTTTTTTTTTTCTCCCCACACTTCTTGAAAGAGAAAGATTGCTTGATAATAGATGCAGCAGGCCTTGTGCTCTGGTCATTGTTCTGGTTCAACGCATTAATGCCACAATTTCCCGCTCGACTGGTGTCCACTCTTCTATGGTTATGCGTCTGTTCCATGGGGTGACTGAGGCTTTTCGCTTTAAGATGATGAGCTAAACTTAGCGATACAGAAAGAGCTGAGGGCAGCACCATTAGTTCCACATACAGAGCTGGTTTAGCCCTATTTCATTAGTTTACATGAGAGTAACTAATTTAAATTGAGTTTCAGTATATTGGAAATTTTATTTGTATGTCCATCCATCCATCCATATTCTTCCGCTTAATCCATTTCTGGGTCGGAGGGGTGGTGCTCTGTGAATTTATGTGTATGTATGTTTTTTCTTCTTCAACAATTTAAACTTAGGAATTGTTCATTGGCAAAGCAGATGAGTGCCATTACAAAAATATTTGAAAGTCTTACAATTTTTTCTTAACCAAGTAGTTTTGTTAGTGCCATACAAAAGATTGTAGCTTGAGGAATACAACTTTTTGATGACTTTTCCAAACTGAGATATCTGTTTTTGCAAATGAACTCTTTATATGCACCAAGGAAAAACATTTAAATCATATTTTTCAGCATGACTTAGAAAAAATCAGAAGTACCTTACTGTGTTTGTTAAACCACTCTTTCCTCTTCGTCTACCTGACTGCTTTAGTACTATAATGCTTGTTGGATTTGTACGTCAGCTACAGTTTGTTGAAGAGTTGAGTTTTTAAGCTCACTGTTGAACTAAAGAAAAGGTCTTATCTTATCAACTGCTGTCATTGGGTTATTAAAATATTAATGCACCTCAACAAAGGACTTCATTTGTTTGACCCAAAGCCTTGTTTGCACACCTTCTTTTGCTGTTTCCCTGTGAAAAGTGAAGAAAGCTGACTGGATGACAGCTCTACAGATGAGATAGCACTGTCTAATCCCTCTCTCAAAGAGCCAAGTTGAAATGAGTGGAGGACGAGAGCACAGGAAAATAAGAGCATTGTGTATTGTGTTTCCCTGGCAGGCTGTCTCACGCCTCCTCTATGAAGTGCCTCTGACAGCAAGGGATTAGGCCAGAGTCCATCGTTCAAGGCCCAAACAGAGCGGGTTGGATTGTAATGCTGCTATATGTGTGTAACTATTAACTAATCAATAACATGTGATTAGAAAACATACTGTTGCAGAAGGCCACTGCTGCAAACAATTCATGCAGTTTAAAGATTCAAGTTTATTGTAGATACCGTGAAAGCCGCACGCAGGAGCAATATCCTCTAAAGCCGCACGGACTAACTTTTTGGCAAGGCCAGCTTTTCAACTTGGACACAGAAAGTCATACATATTCAGCATGGCACATCAATCCAAAACTGTCAACAGCAAAATGACTGTGAATGTGTCTTCTTATCTTTCTCGTTTGCATGCTGTATATTTGAAGACAGCCAAAGCCTTTCTATTAATAAGTCTTAGCTGTCAAAACTTAAGTGTGTAGCTGGAAGCTCCTGCAAAAAGTTAGAAAGAACAACTTAATTTTGTAAATATTGGAACCTGTAATTACGGGTGGCTAATAAAGTTAGCAAAATGTAAACAACAATACGTGCAGTATATAAGAAGAGCAATATAATTGTAGAGCTACATTTATCAATCAATCAATCAATCAATCACTTTATTTATCCCCGAGGGGCAATTTATTGGGACTTGGCAGTAATCCAAAGATGTCTGAACTGACAGCTCGCAATTACACATGTTCATTGGCTTCTC